CGGAGGCATGATCTGCTACACGTTGAGAAAATGAAATTGTGAGCAACAATGGTTGCCTCTGGATGTATTATATATATATATATATATATATATATATATATATATATATATATATATATATATATATATATATATGCATGGAAATTTTCCATTTTGTTATCTGGTTCTCAATGATTCGACCTACATCCCTGTGATGTAGTCCTAGTAAGAATAGAAGTAAGTTTCTAGGATGGTTAGAGACCAAGTGTCATTCGAACTAAGTTACCTCCGATTGGTGGATATCGATTTCCAACTTTCGAAAATATTTGAAAACAGGTCGTAATAAGCTCACATAAAATAGACTTATGAATCTTTTGCTGATCAACTCATTGGGCTGGCTGGATAACTTTTGCATTTCCGTCGGCGCTAGACGATATGGAGGTTTAGCTACAGGAGTAGCTCCGGGGATTAAGTCGATACGAAACCCGACTTGGCGCTCGGGAGGAATCCCTGGAAGATTTTCGGGGAATATATCAGGAAAGTTGCAGACTTTAGGAATGCCCTCGAGGTCTTTAACTTTTTGTGTTTCATCAACATCCTGAGCTAGACATGAAGAACATTCTTTCTGCAGATACTTCTGGGATTTGATGAATGAAACGATACGAAGGTTCGAACTGAGTTTATCACTGTAAATAGTGAGGGCTTCACCAGAGGGAAGATTAAGACGAATCGTTTTCTCGGAACAAAGGTTATCAGCGTGATTGAGGCTCAACCCATCCATGCCGATTATAACATCGAAGCTCTTTATGGATACTGGCATGAGATTGATGGGAAATGAGTGATCGTCTAGGGTAAGAGTACAACCTATGACTATGTTTCGAAGATGACTTTGATAAAGTTACTTAGTTCGCATGCTACCGATCTAAGATATATTTTTGCTAATGATGATCTTTAACGGAAATAAGATTGTTGTCACTATAGTTGGTATTAAGATTACACAGAGTTCGGAAATTTTGACCTAGGAATATGTCTACAGCATACCAACAGAGGGAAAATTGACAACATAGAGAACTAGTGAAACAGTGCTTGCAAGACAGGAATGTCTACAGGGGAAAGAGCTATCTAGAGCATAGATATGAAGGCTATTCCTTAAACCAAAAGGAAGGATGAGTAGATTATTTTCTATCGGCGACGGGCACTCCTCAGATGAAACCTTAATTCAGCCAGCTGACGCTCCACACCAAGTAGGCGTCTCTCGTATACTGACTGGCGAGCTCGGATCTCTATGACTTCAGCTCGGGTTGCAGTTAACTCTCGTTGCAGAGCTTCATTGTCCCTCACAGCTCTCCCTTTAGCAACCTTAAGGCGACGAATGCGATCCGTGCTGGTGCCTGAATCCGCTTCGAGTTCCACAGTTCGCTGAAGGGTTGCCACACCTAGCTCAACATTGCGAGCCACTCGGCATATCAGAATTGGAAGGGCCCTGTCTGCGGGGCCTCCTTCGTTCAGATTGTAGAAGTTGTGGTTTCCGTTGTATGGGAGGGGTTGACCTTGCTCGTGGCTCCACCTATTCAAACTCCCAACCCACATATGCGTTGGACCTTGGAATTCAAGTCGGTGGTTAGGATTTGGTATTGGGGCCACTTGAGGTAGGTTCTCGACTTCGGGTTCGGAGTCAGTCTCTTCTGGAAATTGTTCGGCGAAGTCATCGTCCAAAGGAATTTCATGATTTTCTTCTGGATCTTCCTCAAGCCATCCATTATTTCCTTGGTTGGGAAAGTACGGGTCGCCAGGAAGATTGAATCCAGCCATGCTATCTACGTGAGACTAGACGTGAAAGGGAAAATCAGAAACGTCGAGTCTAATAATACTCCTATAGTATTTCAATTTCATGCTTGATACTTTGTTGTTATCTTATAGTAACTAAAATACTCCTATAGTATTTTAAGTCGTATATTTTTGTTCTACCGATATCTGGTGTACATATACTCGGTAAGTTTTAGGCTTGCTGCAACACCATAGTCACTCCCAAGCACATGTTGGTCATGTCTCGAATAAATATAGTTGATCAGGCTATATTGATCCTAGACATGATTACATAACTGCCCAGGTTTAACCGCAGTGTCCAACATCCAAATACTTTTATTTTGTTCTTCTTGTGATTCTTGTTCTAGTATATACATATTCTGAATATATATATTTATAATTTTATATGTTAGGATAATATGTGGTAGTGGTAGGGGTGAAATAGTCTCCGGTTATCGGTTGAAAGAGACCGAAGGGGTAGGCCAGCACCTACATATGCTAGGCGGTTACCGGTTGAAAGAGCCCGAAGGGGTAGGTCGGGCACCCAGATATGCCTGACAGTATGTGTTATGTATGGTATGTGGTATGATGGGGGAACTCACTAAGCTTCGTGCTTACGGTTTTCAGTTTTGGTTTCAGGTACTTCGTTTTCAAAGGAAAGGAGTCGGCGATCACAGCGCATCACACTATGTTTTCCGCACATGAGATCTTTGGGATTACACTCTGATATTGTTTTATGATAACATGTTTTGATTATTAACACTTTGGTTTGACATGGGATGTTTTTATGGATGTTTTTATACTGTTGGTTTTCATAACAACTTATTTAAAAACGAAATTTTTGGTCTTAAATTTTGGGATGTTACAGATTTTTTCTTCCAGTTATGAACTTTTAATCTCACTTTTTCAATAAGAATCTTGCAATCTCTTGTAAAAATCCTGGTAGAGATTAAAGGAATTCCCAAATACTTCATAGGAAGTTTGCCTTCAACAAAAGGAAGCACATCAAGGATCCTTTTTTTTAAAGGCTCCTTCATATTACCAAAAAAGATGTGACTCTTGGACAAGTTAGGGATAAGCCCAGCAGCTCCAACAAACTCATCCATAACTTTCTTTATGATTCTTATAGACCCAATATTTCCATGGCAAAAAAGCATCAAATCATCAGCAAAGCATAAATGGGTTATCTTCTGAGTGCCACATCTCCAATGATACTTGAACCCAACATTATCTCTAATACTTCTTTTAAGCATGAGATTGAAAACTTCCATCACAAGAGTGAACAAATAAGGGGATAAGGAACATCCTTGCCTCAAGCCTCTCTTTCCTTGAAAAAAAAAGCATGAAAATTGCCTTTAATGTTGATCATGAAAGAAGAAGTGGTCACACAGTTCATAATCCAAGAGATCATAGATTAAATCGAATCCAAAGGCTATCAAAATATTCTGAAGTAACTTCCAATTGACAGTGGCATACGCTTTCTGTATATCCACCTTTAGGTCACAACGAGCATACCCTCTATTGATGTGATATCCACGCACCACCTCTTGAGAGAAGAGAATGTTATCAAGAATGGACCGGCCTGGTATAAAAGCAGATTGATTATCCGAGACTAAAAACCCAAGAAAATCACGAATCCACTTCATAATGATCTTACTAGTACACTTATATACCACATTGCAACAGGCAATAGGTCTATAGTCTCCAACCCGGTGACTAAACTTTAGGAACAAGAGCTATGGTAGTAGCATTGATCTCCTTAAGAATTTTGTACTTTCAAAAAAATTCTTTCACAGCTTTACAAAAATCATCTCCCACTATAACCCAAGCAGCCTTAAAAAACTTAGACGTGTATCCATCTGACCCTAGAGCTTTGTCTTCATCAATATAGAATAACGCAGCTCTAATTTCATCACATATTATCTCTTTGACCATATATAAAAGCTTGAACATGAGTCAACTTGTTCTCAAAAAGATCATTAGGACTGATAATGGCCCTGACATTGCGATCAACTCCCAAAAAGTCATTGAAATATTTCACAATCTGCTTAAAAGCTTCATCACCTTCTTTCCATTTGCCATCATTATCCATAATGGTTTCAACTTTGTTTCTGTTAATCTTTCCTTTGACAACTTTATGGAAATAGGCAGACTTACAGTCTCCTTCCTTCAACCACTGCACTTTAGCTCTTTATTTTAAAATCTTTTCTTCTTCAATACTTGCATTAAGGAAAGCTTGTAGATAAAATCCTTCTTCAGAACGTAAATCTCCATTATAAGGATCATTATCCAGCTCAATTTGCACTTTATCCAATTCTTCTCTACATTTTTGCACTTTTTCTGCATAACTACCTTGATCATTCAGAAGCTTCCGAAGCGGTTTTTACAAAATTTTCAACTTTTGACATAGCGGAAACATGTCAAAACCTTCCACATGAGTACTCCAATATTTATCAACCGTAGGAAGAAAATCCTCCAAAACAGTGATATCATTGACAAACTTAAGGGTTTAGGGTTTATGGTTTTAGGATTTTAGGGTTTAGGGTTGTAGGGTTTAGGGTTTTAGGAATTTAGGGTTTAGGGTTGTAGGGTTTAGGGTTTAGGGTTCAGGGTTCAGGGTTCAGGGTTCAGGGTTCATGGCTCAGGGTTCAGGGTTTAGGGTTTAGGGTTTAGGGTTCAGATTTCAGGGTTCAGGGTTCAGGGGTTTAGGGGTTTAGGGTTAGGGATTTAGGGTTTAGGGTTTAGGGTTTAGGGTTTCGGGTTTAGGGTTTAGGGTTTAGGGTTTAGGGTTATAGTGGGAGATGATTTTTGTAAAGCTGTGAAAGAATTTTTTTGAAAGAAAAAAATTCTTAAGGAGATCAATGCTACTGCCATAGCTCTTGTTCCTAAAGTTTAGTCCCCGGGTTGGAGACTATAGACCTATTGCCTGTTGCAATGTGGTATATAAGTGTATTAGTAAGATCATTATGAAGTGGATTTGTGATTTTCTTGGGTTTTTAGTCTCGGATAATCAATATACTTTTATACCAGGCCGGTCCATTCTTGATAACATTCTCTTGTCTCAATAGTTGGTGCGTGGATATCACATCAATAGAGGGTATGCTCGTTGTGCCCTAAAGGTGGATATACAGAAAGCGTATGACACTGTCAATTGGAGGTTACTTCAGAATATTTTGATAGCCTTTGGATTCCATTACTCTATGATCTCTTGGATTATGAACTGTGTGACCACTTCTTCTTTCATGATCAACATTAAAGGCAATTTTCATGGTTTTTTTTTTCAAGGAAAGAGAGGCTTGAGGCAAGGATGTCCCTTATCCCCTTATTTGTTTACTCTTGTCATGGAGGTTTTCAATCTCATGCTTAAAAGAAGTATTAGAGAGAATGTTGGGTTCAAGTATCATTGGAGATGTGGCACTCAGAAGATAACCCATTTATGCTTTGCTGATGATTTGATGCTTTTTTGCCCTGGAAATATTGGGTCTATAAGAATCATAAAGAAAGTTATGGATGAGTTTGTTGGAGCTGCTGGTCTTATCCCTAACTTGTCCAAGAGTCACATTTTTTTTGGTAATGTGAAGGAGCCTTTAAAAAGAAGGATCCTTGATGTGCTTCCTTTTGTTGAAGGCAAACTTCCTATGAAGTATTTAGGAATTCCTGTAATCTCTACCAGGATTTTTACTAGAGATTGCAAGATTCTTATTGAAAAAGTGAAATTAAAAGTTCATAACTGGAAGAAAAAATCTGTAACATCCCAAAATTTAAGACCAAAAATTTTGTTTTTAAATAAGTTGTTATGAAAACCAACAGTATAAAAGCATCCATAAAAACATCCCATGTCAAACCAATGTGTCAATAATCAAAATATGTTATCATAAAACAATATCATAGTGTAATCCCAAAGATCTCATGTGTGGAAAACATAGTGTGATGCGCTGCGATCGCCGACTCCTTTCCTTTGAGTTATGTTCTGTCTCCTAGAGAGATAGCTAATGTTGGGTTTAATATACGGGATAAATTCAGTGATGAGATTCTTAATGATGAATGGAGTTGGCCACTAGATTGGTTGAGAATGGTTCCACAGCTAGGAGAGTACCCTATTCCTAAACCCTAAACCCTCCCAAACCCTAACCCTAAACCCCAACACTAAACCCCAAACCCTAATCACCAAACCCTAAACCATAAACCTTAAACCCCTGAACCCTAAATCCCTAACCCCTAACCCCCTAAACCCCTGAACCCTGAACCCTGAAATCTGAACCCTAAACCCAAAACCCTAAACCCTGAACCATGAACCATGAACCCTAAACGCTGAACCCTGAACCATAAACCATGAACCATGAACCCTGAACCCTGAACCCTGAACCCTGAACCCTGAACTCTAAACCCTAAACCCTACAACCCTAAACCCTAAAATCCTAAACCCCTAAACCCTAAAACCCTAAACCCTAAAATACTAAAACCCTAAACCCTTAAGTTTGTCAATGATATCACTGTTTTGGAGGATTTTCTTCCTACGGTTGATAAATATTGGAGTACTCCTGTGGAAGGTTTTGACATGTTTCCGCTATGTCAAAAGTTGAAAATTTTGTAAAAACCGCTTCGGAAGCTTCTGAATGATCAAGGTAGTTATGCAGAAAAAGTGCAAAAATGTAGAGAAGAATTGGATAAAGTGCAAATTGAGCTGGATAATGATCCTTATAATGGAGATTTACGTTCTGAAGAAGGATTTTATCTACAAGCTTTCCTTAATGCCAGTATTGAAGAAGAAAAGATTTTAAAACAAAGAGCTAAAGTGCAGTGGTTGAAGGAAGGAGACTGTAAGTCTGCCTATTTCCATAAAGTTGTCAAAGGAAATATTAACAGAAACAAAGTTGAAACCATTATGGATAATGATGGCAAATGGAAAGAAAGTGATGAAGCTTTTAAGCAGATTGTGAAATATTTCAATGACTTTTTGGGTGTTGATCGCAATGTCAGGCCCATTATCAGTCCTAAAGATCTTTTTGAGAACAAGTTGACTCATGTTCAAGCTTTAAATATGGTCAAAGAGATAACATGTGATGAAATTAAAGCTGCGTTATTTGATATTGATGAAGACAAAGCTCTAGGGTCCGATGGATACACGTCTAAGTTTTTTAAGGGTGCTTGGGTTATAGTGGGAGATGATTTTTGTAAAGCTGTGAAAGAATTTTTTTTAAAGAAAAAAATTCTTAAGGAGATCAATGCTATTGCCATAGCTCTTGTTCCTAAAGTTTAGTCCCCGGGTTGGAGACTATAGACCTATTGCCTTTTGCAATGTGGTATATAAGTGTATTAGTAAGATCATTATGAAGTGGATTCGTGATTTTCTTGGGTTTTTGTCTCGGATAATCAATCTGCTTTTATACCAGGCCGGTCCATTCTTGATAATATTCTCTTGTCTCAAGAGCTGGTGCGTGGATATCACATCAATATAGGGTATGCTCTTTGTGCCCTAAAGGTGGATATACAGAAAGCGTATGACACTGTCAATTGGAACTTACTTCAGAATATTTTGATAGCCTTTGGATTCCATTACTCTATGATCTCTTGGATTATGAACTGTGTGACCACTTCTTCTTTCATGATCAACATTAAAGGCAATTTTCATGGTTTTTTTTCAAGGAAAGAGAGTCTTGAGGCAAGGATGTCCCTTATCTCCTTATTTGTTCACTCTTGTGATGGAAGTTTTCAATCTCATGCTTAAAAGAAGTATTAGAGAGAATGTTGGGTTCAAGTATCATTGGAGATGTGGCACTCAGAAGATAATCCATTTATGCTTTGCTGATGATTTGATGCTTTTTTGCCCTGGAAATATTGGGTCTTTAAGAATCATAAAGAAAGTTATGGATGAGTTTGTTGGAGTTGCTGGTCTTATCCCTAACTTGTCCAAGAGTCACATCTTTTTTGGTAATGTGAAGGAGCCTTTAAAAAGAAGGATCCTTGATGTGCTTCCTTTTGTTGAAGGCAAACTTCCTATGAAGTATTTGGGAATTCCTTTAATCTCTACCAGGATTTTTACTAGAGATTGCAAGATTCTTATTGAAAAAGTGAAATTAAAAGTTCATAACTGGAAAAAAAAATCTGTAACATCCCAAAATTTAAGACCAAAAATTTCGTTTTTAAATAAGTTGTTATGAAAACCAACAGTATGAAAACATCCATAAAAACATCCCATGTCAAATCAAAGTGTCAAAAATTAAAACATGTTATCATAAAACAATATTAGAGTGTAATCCCAAAGATCTCATGTGCGGAAAACATAGTATGATGCGCTGCGATCGTAGACTCCTTTCCTTTGAGTTATGTTCTGTCTCCTAGAGAGATAGCTAATGTTGGGTTTAATATACGGGATAAAGTCAGTGATGTGATTGTTAATGATGAATGGAGTTGGCCAATAGATTGGTTGAGAATGGTTCCACATCTAGGAGAGTACCCTATTCCTAAACCCCAAACCCTAAACCCTCCCAAACCCTAAACCCTAAACCCTAACCCTAAACCCCAAACCCTAAACACCGAACCCTAAACCATAAACCCTAAACCCGAAACCCTAAAACCTAAATCCTAAACCCTAAACCCTATGTCCCTAACCCGTAAACCCCTAAACCCCTGAACCTTGAACCCTGAACCCTGAACCCTAAACCCTGAAATCTAAACCCTAAACCCTAAACCCTGAACCATGAACCATGAACTTTAAACCCTGAACCCTGAACCATGAACCCTGAAACCTGAACCCTGAACCCTGAACCCTGAACCCTGAACCCTAAACCCTAAACCCTACAACCCTAAACCCTAAAATCCTAAAACCCTAAACCCTAAACCCTTAAGTTTTTCAATGATATCACTGTTTTGGAGGATTTTCTTCCTACAGTTGATAAATATTGGAGTGCTCCTGTGGATGGTTTTGACATGTTTCCGCTATGTTAAAAGTTGAAAATTCTGTACAAACCGCTTCGGAAGCTTCTAAATGATCAAGGTAGTTATGCAGAAAAAGTGCAAAAATGTAGAGAAGAATTGGATAAAGTGCAAATTGAGCTGGATAATGATCCTTATAATGGAGATTTACGTTCTGAAGAAGGATTTTATCTACAAGCTTTCCTTAATGCCAGTATTGAAGAAGAAAAGATTTTAAAACAAAGAGCTAAAGTGCAGTGGTTGAAGGAAGGAGACTGTAAGTCTGCCTATTTCCATAAAGTTGTCAAAGGAAAGATTAACAGAAACAAAGTTGAAACCATTATGGATAATGATGGCAAATGGAAAGAAGGTGATGAAGCTTTTAAGCAGATTGTGAAATATTTCAATGACCTTTTGGGTGTTGATCGCAATGTCAGGCCCATTATCAGTCCTAAAGATCTTTTTGAGAACAAGTTGACTCATGTTCAAGCTTTAAATATGGTCAAAGAGATAACATGTGATGAAATTAAAGCTGCGTTATTTGATATTGATGAAGACAAAGCTCTAGGGTCCGATGGATACACGTCTAAGTTTTTTAAGGGTGCTTGGGTTATAGTGGGAGATGATTTTTGTAAAGCCGTGAAAGAATTTTTTTGAAAGAAAAAAATTCTTAAGGAGATCAATGCTACTGCCATAGCTCTTGTTCCTAAAGTGTAGTCCCCGGGTTGGAGACTATAGACCTATTGCCTGTTGCAATGTGGTATATAAGTGTATTAGTAAGATCATTATGAAGTGGATTCGTGATTTTCTTGGGTTTTTGTCTCGGATAATCAATCTGCTTTTATACCAGGCCGGTCCATTCTTGATAACATTCTCTTGTCGCAAAAGATGGTGCGTGGATATCACATCAATAGAGGGTATGCTCGTTGTGCCCTAAAGGTGGGTATACATAAAGCGTATAACACTGTCAATTGGAAGTTACTTCAGAATATTTTGATAGCCTTTGGAGTCCATTACTCTATGATCTCTTGGATTATGAACTGTGTGACCACTTCTTCTTTCATGATCAACATTAAAGGCAATTTTCATGGTTTTTTTTCAAGGAAAGAGAGGCTTGAGGCAAGGATGTCCCTTATCCCCTTATTTGTTATCTCTTGTGATGGAAGTTTTCAATCTCATGCTTAAAAGAAGTATTAGAGAGAATGTTGGGTTCAAGTATCATTGGAGATGTGGCACTCAGAAGATAACCCATTTAAGCTTTGCTGATGATTTGATGCTTTTTTGCCATGGAAATATTGGGTCTATAAGAATCATAAAGAAAGTTATGGATGAGTTTTTTTTGGAGTTACTGGTCTTATTCCTAACTTGTCCAAGAGTCACATCTTTTTTGGTAATGTGAAGGAGCCTTTAAAAAGAAGGATCCTTGGTGTGCTTCCTTTTGTTGAAGGCAAACTTCCTATGAAGTATTTGGGAATTCCTTTAATCTCTACCAGGATTTTTACTAGTGATTGCAAGATTCTTATTGAAAAAGTGAAATTAAAAGTTCATAACTGGAAGAAAAAATATGTAACATCCCAAAACTTAAGACCAAAAATTTTGTTTTTAAATAAGTTGTTATGAAAACCAACAGTATAAAAACATCCCTAAAAACATACCATGTCAAACCAAAGTGTCAATAATCAAAACATGTTATCATAAAACAATATCATAGTGTAATCCCAAAGATCTCATGTGTGGAAAACATAGTGTGATACGCTGCGATCACCGAATCCTTTCCTTTGAGTTATGTTCTGTCTCCTAGAGAGATAGCTAATGTTGGGTTTAATATACGGTATAAAGTCAGTGATGTGACTGTTAATGATGAATGGAGTTGGCCACTAGATTGGTTGAGAATGGTTCCACAACTAGGAGAGTACCCTATTCCTAAACCCTAAACCCTAAACCCTAAACCCTAAACCCTCCCAAACCCTAACCCTAAACCCTAACCCGAAACCCCAAACCCTAAACACCAAACCCTAAACCATAAACCCTAAACTCTAAACCCCAAACCCCTGACCCCTAAATCCCTAACCCCTAACCCCCTAACCCCCTAAACCCTGAACCCTGAACCCTGAAATCTGAACCCTAAACCCTAAACCCTAAACCCTGAACCATGAACCATGAACCCTAATGTAACAACATGAACTTCGAACACAATTTTTTTTCATTTTTAAAACATAATTTCATTCATAATAAGTATCAAAAACCAATGTAACACATGTCCTCCAAATAAAACAATCCCAAGATCTCAAATACATAAAACTCCATCAGTTTGTACAGATCATGCTGGCGCCTTCCCGCGATCCTCGCTGGTACCTGAAACACATATCACATAAACGGTAAGCATAAATGCTTAGTGAGTTCCCCAAAATACCACATACACATATACGCCATTCAAGGCTATCGCTCTACAAGACCTTCCGGTCCATGTGTCTTAGGGCACTTCCGTCCCACAATCCGGATAGACTTTCCGGTCGTACCCGTAATGACCTTCCGGTCCTCCTTTGTCGACCTTCCGATCCATAACATCTTGACCTTTCGGTCCATATCGTAATGACCTTTCGGTCCATACCATACTACTCAGAAACTAATCATAACACATACATAACATATATCAGGCATACATCACATACTCCTCATAAGACTTTCCGGTCACACATAATTACCACTCTAGGTAAAGTATAGTAAGAAGACTCACTTCGTACGATGTCAGATAACCTCTTGCTCGACAACCCGACCTAGCCTCCTCCTATCAACATAATAACATGAATACTTTCTCTTGTCCTCATTTCTAAAGAATGGGTAGAAGACCATTCTACCCCTCCCCGACCTCTCTTGAACCAGCTTGACCAAAACCTTAAGGTCAACTGAAGTCAACTCTAGTCAACGGTCAAACTTTGACCAAACTCGTCGAGTGCACTCGTGTGACTCGGCGAGTCCATGCGTGTCCTCTTAATTCTCATAAATCCTCACTCGACTCGTCGATTTAACCTTTCACTCGATGGGTTACCACTGGTCACAAATCGCGGGGCAACCCGACTCGACTCGTCGAGTCCCCTTATGGACTCGGCGAGTTCCCTCCATGGCAACACTCAAAAGACCTTCTGAGGTCAGATCTGCTTCTCTAACCTATATATCTGACCTTCCAATACACAATAATCACGTAAAGGTCCAACCTTTACACTCATGCAACACTCATAGGGCTTCTTTTGGTGAAATAGCTTCTAAAATGGCAGCCTAGGTTCATATCTCCAAAGGAATAGCATAAAGCAGGATAGTTAGGACTCTCTGAACCTCTTAAGGTCC